AATATTTGATTGTTGTGATCCTATTTTGTCTGGGTTTTTTCTTTATTTTGAGTGGGTCTATGGTGTTTGGAGGGCGTGACAAATCTGGTCTCCCTTTAGTAGGTGGGTTTTGTTGGGGTAGTTGTTTGCGTTGTCGAGCTTTTTGGTTAAATACAACAAGTGGCTATGGCGACCTCCTAATATATCAGCGGTCGAGCACCCCTTACTGTCCAGATCTGTCCATAGAGCCTCCGGCCAACCGTCGTCAGATCATCGCAGCCCCGTCCAAGCCGTTGCATCTCAGAAATCGACCGCCACCCATCGCGGCACCTCAATCCACCATGAGACCAAAAGAAAACAGATATGAGCCTCCCACCACCGCTGCATATTCCGACAATGCCCATCGAGCCTCCGGCCAACCGTCGCCAGATCATCGCAGCCCCGTCCAAGCCGTTGCATCTCAGAAATCGACCGCCACCCATCGAGGCACCTCAATCCACCATGAGACCAAAAGAAAGCAGATCTGAGCCTCCCACCACCGCTGCATATTCCGACAATGCTCTTCCCTCTGCGAAAGCAGACCCAAATCGGCAGTGGAGAACTCTCTCTCTCTCTCTACACTTTTTTTGAAAAAAAAATTGTAGAAAAATCTCATATGAATTGATTTTTTTAGTGCAGATCTAATTTGATTTTTGCTTGGCCTTTTAAAAAAATGTATATTTTAAATATATTGCTTGTGATTTTACAAAAATAACCTTCATAATTGAGTCATGTAAGAGGTTACATGAATTTTTTAACGTAGATAATTTAACCGAGATGGTCAAAAAGGATTTATGCCTCGTTCGTTTCGCTGATTCGAGTTTAGAATTTGAGTTTTGTTACAATAAAAAGCTCTCACAAACAGTCACATCTAACTTTTTTATTACAATAAAAAACTCTCACATAAAATCACATTTCAACTCGAATTCTAAATTCGAATCAACAAAATGAACGAGAACTCTGTGATGCTTACTTTTTTTGTTCTTCACACATATATACAAACTTAAGTAGTGTTGTCATATTATGTAAAAATTGTGGTAAAATAAGAAAAAGTTGGGGCACTCTTAAATTTTGAAAAGTTTAGGGGAGCTAAATAAAAAAAATGAAAGTATAACTATAAATTTAAAAGGAAAAAAATACCAAAGGGGCCACTTGGGCTCGGGGCTGATCCCCTTAAGCCCAAGCTCCCTTCGTCCCCTGTACAAGACGTTGCAATATATTGAAAGAAAAATAATAGAAAATAGGCCAACATACAAAATTTAAAAAAGTATATAAGTTAATTTTTAGTTATAAAAATTAATATGTTATAATTTATTAAATTATAGTTCATAATCAGATAAATTATGAATAAATTTGTTAAGTTATAGTTCATAGTCAGACAAGTTATGGATAAAAATCATGAATAACTTATCAAGTTATGGTTCATAACTAGACAAGTTATGAACGAAAATAATAATTTGACCTATTTATTAACTTATGTAAACTATTGACCTATTAATTTTAATTCATCTCAAATCTTGACATATTTTTCTCTTTCTCCCTATATTGAATTAATAGAAATGCTTAGAACCTTTTTTTTCTTTTAAGGTCTCTTTAGACTCTTTCATTGAAGTTTATTTTCAAAACATATGGATATTATGCGCAAATCCACAAACTAATATTACATGGTAAATCATCTTCAAAAAGAAGAAAAAACTGGTAAGCCAGGTTGCTGACTATATGCAAACGCGCATATTATTCTCGTATACCGTGGAATAGTTAGCAACTTTTGATTAATTGAGTTTATTGTTACGTACTTTGTATTAATATATGTATATGTGTAAGTACGTACAATGTATATGCGTATAAACGTATTGACCATAAACAAAAATCTACTGTCTATTGAACGGTAAATTATATTTGCATTGGACTTTTGTAAATTATATATAATAAGGCCCGTTTAGTTCGCTATTCGAGTTTTTAATTCGAGTTGAGATGTGATTTTATGTGAGAGCTTTTTACTGTAGCAAAAAAGTTAGATGTGATTGTTTGTGAGAGCTTTTTACTGTAGCAAAACTCGAATTCTAAACTCGAATCAGCGAAATGAACGGAGCCTTAAGTCTTTACAAATTTGGACTACCCGGCTATTTTGTTATATATTTCTAAATTTAGGAATTTTTCATTAATATTTGCTCGGTTGGAGTGAACTCTCTAAATTTTAGTTAAATTTAATTAAAATAGTTACAAAGCTATTTTAGTTAGTAATTTTTAAGGTGATTTTGTCATATTATTTATTTTAGTTAAATATAAATTATTTTAATATTTATTGAATTTAAAAAAAAATCTTTACATTTAGTACGATTGAAAGAATAAAATAATATAAAAAATTAAATAGTTAGCCTCTCTATGTCAGTTATATTTAGCTAGTGTGAAAAAATACTATCTAAAATGGTTAATCATATAGCTATGGTTGGAGTATAAATTTTTTTTTAAAAAAAAGTTAAATTATTAATTATTTTAACTAAAAACATAAAATAACTTGCACGATTGCGGTTGTTCTTACCGTGGAAAATCTAGAGATTTGAATCCAAGGCAATGAAGATGTACTTCCTTATGGCGCGGCGCTTCATGCTTCGCTGGCTGCTAGCTAGATGAAAGAATTCCAATTTAAGGTTCTCTTACAGAAGAAGAATGTCATGATGAAATGTTGTGGGTTTTCTGAATGTTTTTCACAATTGAATGTATATCAGTGCAAAACGCACAGAATGTACATGGGGTATTAAATTCTTGTTCATGATATTCATGGCTATTTTTTAAAATGAGTTAAATAGTTTTTCAAATACAACTAAATCTTTGTAGATATATGTGGTGGGATTCGTATTATTATACATAAATTGGTAATCTAATGACTTGTTAAATTACGAACCAATATAATTACAGGATTTATTCTTCATTTTCTTCTCGGACAGAGCATGATACATACAACTCAAGAAAATAGATGATGTAGGGCTTTTTAAGAACAACCAGTTAAGTGGGGCAACCGGTTAGAGCATGATATGTTTTTTCATCTTAAAAAGGTAACCAGTTAAGTAGGATAGTAAGTCTTCATAAATTGATATTTTTTACGTTTATTATTATATTTAAACGATATAAAACTCATTTATTTTTATCTTTTTATACGCCCCTAAAATGATGCTCTTTTGGAAGTTATCGATCTTATATTTAACAGATCGAGCATTTATACCATCAATAGAATCATTTGAGTATGGTTTAGTTTGAAAATTCCACATGCAGCTAGTAAGGTTTTGGGTGGTTACAGACGGAATTAACTCCCATCTTTCACTCTGAACAAGAGCATCATATTCCTTAAATATGGCTTGACACAGAAGAACAATATATATAATAACTTTTACAATAATAAAATTGTTACAACACAAATTCAACATTTTTATTAAATTTGGAAAAAATGAATTGGTAAGGATGTCGAGACACGTGAACCACACTTTTTTTAAAACAGATTCGTCTCATCCGGCGAGTGATTTAGGTAACATTGGACGTCCGTCACCCACGATACAACGACAATAACGGTAGCTCGAAGCACTATCGGAACCGTCCGGCAAACTATAACTTGGATCTTTCCCTCTATCACCAAAATTGAAATACAAAATAAAACGCACAAAAAACTCGAAAAACAAAAGAGAACCGAGAGAGAGGAGAAGAGAATTCGGAAAAGTGTGAGTCCTCCTTCATGTGATGCATGGCTTATATAGGCTCTTGAAAAGAGGTTACAAAGCATGACATTATGGGGCTTAAACACGCATCTTAAAGGTGCAAAACGTGCACGATGAACCTTGCCACAATTCCATAGTAAGTTTGAATTTTTATGAAGGCAAAATTGATGCCATAACCGGTCATTAAGTCTACCATTAAGTTCGGCATTAAGCTCCAAACGATTTTGGTTGGGCCGAATCAAAAAATAAAAATTGTAAAACAAAACCGGTAGAGAGCGAGTTTTTCGGTCCGACATTCGTATTCACACACATTTAGTTCTAGTTTCTCGTCTTTTTACCTTGTTTCTCATACTTAAGCCAATTGTCATTAAACTTTTCTTTTAGCTATCATAGATAGTTATTTAGTTTGCGTGTTAATATATGAATACTTGCTTCTTGATTAATTGATAGACAGTGTTATACAAAATGTCCGCTGTTAGCAAATTGTACGATATAATCACTCGCATACATCCTGTTAAAGATTGGATATCTGAGATATATGTTATACGAGTCCTCTGCGAAAATTGTGGATTCAAATCCTCCTGATGAGAGCTATTTCACAAACCAAATTATTCTTGTATTTTATGGTATAGGTGGCATTGAGTTTATTCTTACAGTATATTAATATGTATAAAATTTATATGTATGTATAGATATATAAACGAAATGATCACATGGACAAAAATCTGCTATCTATTTTCTAAAAAAATATAAAAAATCCACCGTCTATTTTAGGATAAATTGTTTCCATTTTGGACTCGGCTATTTCGTTATATATAATCTCATAAAACTTTTAATGTTTTCACTCTCATATTTATCATATTGGAGTGGAGATTTGAATTCTTCATCTTAATATTAAAAGTAAAGTATCGTTAACGTTAATACTTATTTTCAAAATAAAAAAATAAATAAAAGCATAACCAAATCTCATAGAAACCAATTGAAACAGACTCAAGAGAATAAGTAAAGCCACGGCAACCTTAATTACGTACGAGAAAGAGATCAAATCAGTAAGGTGAAAGAAGAAAAACAACACTTAAGAAAACAATATTAGCAATGAACTCCATACTTATCAATTCGAGATTTTGATTAGAAAAAAAAAAAAAAAAAAAAAAAAAAACCCTTATCAATTCGAGACATACTATACAAAATGCATTTTATTTCAGGTGAGATGAAAAAGAAAGCACTAGCTAAACCGGAAAACTAATGTTATACCCTGCAAATTTTCGCTTATCAATTTTGACAAATATCTGAATATCCAGGACCCCCAAAATAGAAATAGGTCCCAGAACTAGTACTCTTGTCTTCTCCGACGTGCAAATCATAGCATGAAGGTTTTGTAGCATAAGGTATAAGCTGCTCCGGATCTTTGAACTCACCATTGCCATCCATATACTTGATGTTGCTAAAATAACTTGCTCTTTTAAAGCCTTCAATTGGAAAATGCCCACTTCCCATATCAGTTTGAGTGTGACGACCCCCAGCTTCGTTGTTTATGATCTCTCCGCCGCAGTTTATTGTGTTAGAACCATCACGCAGCGTCGTAAAAATAGAGTCCGGCCAATATCCTATTGAAGTGTTTAGAATTTGCAGCCACCAATGTCCGCTTACCTTGTTCTATCCAATTGTTACGAACATTATATTTGACATATTAGTAACGCTACATGCACCAATTATTTGTAAATTTAGAATAATCGGAATAGAAAATATGTAAATTTAAAATAATTGTTCTAATAAGTTGATATCCTTAACATTATAACTCTTTTTACACGTGAATGTACTAAAATTAATTGGAGAGTTCAATTATGTCTATGATGGATTTATACCTTGAATATAGTGATTGGTATATTGAATTGTGGGCCATTGTAGGTGGAAACACGGTTTATTTTGTAATCTAAGGCAAATCGCCTGTTTACTTGTACAAAACCGGGGCAATCAAGATTGTAGCAACCTGAGTTTTGATAGCCGTCCCTCTGATCAAAAAGTCACGCGAAAACAATATTGTTATGGAGGAAAATTCTAAATACAAATTAGTGATATAAACTCAATGCTTTCTTACCCAATAAAAGTAGCATAAATTAGTGGGTATGTACTATCATTGAGATTTTAAAATTTTAATTTTTATATATATGGAAAATTTTTTTTTTTTTTTTTTGTGAAATTCAATTGTGCCTTAATAATTTATTCATTACATAAGACAAATTTTATAACCGTACTTACTTAACAATAGGAAATTGTAATTTGCAACTGAAGCAGCTACTGTATATATATATAGGCTTAGCTTAAGGGGATACATTGTCACAAAGCAAGAGACTTACAGTCCAGAATGTGAAGAACTTTGTGAATTTGTCCCCTGAATTAACCTGTTCATTAACCATGGATTAATGCTTTCGTAAGCTAGAATCCTCGAAAATAATTATTTCAAAACTTCAAATTATAAAGAGACATATTTATCAAATATAATTAGTTGATTAATCCCTTTTGATAAGTAAGTTGTACTACTTGAAGAATTGAATTATTATTATTACCATCCACCCAGCTTCCACAGAATTCAAATTTTCTCCTTCGCCTGATAAAACCCAAAGTTGAGCTAAACTATATTCTGAGCTATATGTTGTTGGAGTCCATACGTTGATATTTGCCTGTACTCCATAGTACTTTCCACCATTAAAAGTAACTTGAGCGTACTAGCAATCACCAAAATCAAAGTAGTACTCATTTTAATTCCAAGGAAAAAAAAAAATCAACATGCCAACTTCTTGTGGCAGTGAAAAAAATAAGTATACATACATATATATATATATATATATATATATATTGTGTGTGTGTGTGTGTACCTCATGACCAGTTGGAGCACCGAACTGATGGTGGCCAATCCTATCTATGGAGATATTTAAAATGGCCTTCCGAGGATAAACAGATTTTAGTGTCCGTACGATGGGTATTGTTCCTTCTGGGCATTCTCCATTCTCATGCCACTCTTGTAAATATGGCGTTATTTGGTCGTTTTCTGATTCTACTACATTTTGATTTGAACTCGGATGCATCTGTAACCACAAACTTCAACAATATATAAGTGCGCATTTTACTTTTTTATTTATTAGTTCACAGTCCAAATTAAAGACAAAAAAGTATAAAAATACGCGCACACATATATATATATTCTTATATTCTAGTATATATTCTTGAAAAGGATAATGGAATGGTCAAACATTGATGATATACCATATGACATACACATAAGATATACGCATATGTTGTGTAATTGTAAGTATTATTTTACAGAATCTGATGATCTTCAAATAGCTAGGTATGTGTATATGTATTCCATATAGATCAAAAGAATAAAAATTAAAAATTAAAAAAGAACCTCTATGGTGTGATTCTTGAGTAGCGGGTGATCAAAAGCAGGTTGCTTATAAATATCAACACAATCTATCACTTCGCCATTTTTGCTCTGTAAATTCATGAAAAGCGATACATGGTCAATGTAATTCAATTTCATGATCAAACTCTTTGAAAACACGTCTTTTTAGAAACAAATCTGTCAATTCAAAAAAAAAAAAAAAAAAAAAAAAAAAAAAAAAAAAAAAAAAAAGTCTACAAACCTCTATGCTTTTGAACGTTCCCTTGTGCTTTACCAATTCTAAATCATGTCTCCCAGATGCAATGTTTCTTCCATATGCAAATTCAACGGGATTTAGATGATACAAAGTTATCAGGGCGAGTATGCCACAGCTCCTAAATACTGTTTTATGATTTTCGAAACCCATTAACTTGGATTCAAGAAAATAAAAAATCCCAGATATGACTACAGACGTTATACATGTATATAATATATATATATATATATATGGATATAGGTATGGATACAGATATCTACTTTGTAAAAATGAGATAGTGCATTCTTTGTTGTTTGCCTTTTTTTCCCCCTACTTGATTTGGTAAGGAATTGAGGTCTGTATTGCACTAATTACGTATTAATATTCTTTCAATGACAGTATATATTCTTTCCTTATTTGTATTAATGTTTCCATGTAGATTGCAACGTAGCATAAGTAGATAACAATATACACAAAATCAAAATAAATAGATAAATAAATGTTTCCACACGTAAAATATTATTTGCATGCGTCAGACCATTTTTTTTTTTTTTAGCGTAAAAAAGTAAGGAATTAGTTGCATGCAATCTAGCCAGCAATGTCGATTTCCTACTTTTAATGTGGAATCTACAAACGGTATGCCAGGTTGTATCACACACAGGAGGAAGAGAGCCTAAAAGTCAACGCATTGTGGAATTGAACTCGCACCCTCACAAATTCAAGTCCGCACCACCCATGTAGTCTGACCCTGTCTATGTCTTGTATCAAACTGATCTTATCCGTTTTCTCTAGATTTCTCACATGAAACGGATATTATGTGTGTTCTTACAAGTTGCAACAAATTTGAGCTATCCATAAATGGAAAATTCAATATTTGGAAATCAAAAAGAAAAAAAAAGAACTTTATTCGGCATCATATCTCATCCATATATAAATTTTTCATATCTTTAAGCACCATATAGATAGGATCTGGATATTTAAGCACCGTATCTTTTGAAGGAACTCTTGGTTTTGAAGGAACTCTTGGTAGAATGTAAAAAAATTCCTAGCGTTCTGGTAACTAAAAAAAAAAAAAGATGTACGTTGGTACTGCTTTCCGAAACTTTTCTTTTTGAAGAAAAGCCCAGTAACGCGCTTCATTGACATAGAATACTATAATGTAAAAAAACTCACTTCTTTTATCTTCTTCCATCAAATGAGACTCTACAACCACTTTAAGGTCAGAAATCAATCATAATAAACAGAAAAATTCCGAAAATGCAGCACGAATTGATGATGAGGGGCAATGGCATTGGATCTCTCTAGACCTGCAGTTGTTGCCCTTTCCCAGCCGCTCTAAATGTGTCAATCTTAAACGATTTTTCATGCGCCACTCCCAGCTGCTACTTCCAGTCACCATTATGACTGTAATTGTGCAGTTTACTCACAATCTTTGCACATCCTGGAAGGAACATATAGACCTTATGCTTTGGAAACCGAGAATGGAACAATGGTACATTGAAAAAAATAAATAAATAAATAAACAGTGGAAGGTAGGAAAGAGTTTTGACCTTGGTAATGAGATGCATAAGCTCAACTGGGATTGTCACAGAGCTCCAACAGACATACGCACTCGATATGAGGAGTGTGTGGGAACATGTCTACTGGCTGTAGACTCTTCAGCTTGTAACACCCTTTTATATTTTGCTCTGCCTGCATAACATCTTTTATCAGGTCATATAGCTGAAAACTAGAACTGACAGATGGTGTCATAGATTGTGAGACGTACCACTCCATGACAAAGATAATCAAGGTCACGTGCACAGGTTGCTGGATTACACGATACATAAACTATTCTCGGCACCTTGAGCTTTAGGAGAAACTTAATCAACTTCATGTGCATCCCCGGTCGGTTTGGATCTGCATGATTGACACATTTTTAACAAAGAAGACCAAAGAAAAAAACACAAAATTGCACTGTAGAATAGGAAAGCAAACATTTAATTCAAGGTCGAGAAGTAGGAAAGTATGGACTTCTTTTAATAAAATCTGAGAAGGTAATTCTTAAGTAACTTAACCTGAAATCACAATATCAGGTCTAGGAAAATTGTTCCCGAAACTTGCATCAATTTTATTCAGATCCCCTTGCACGAATGTCGCATTACGGATGTCATTTAGCTCAGCGTTCAGATGAGCGTCTGAGATTGCTTGAGCAACTACTTCATACCCGTAAACATGTTTGACCCTGACATAAGATATAAAATATAACAGGCAAAGGTGTCAAATGGGTTCGACATGACTTTAAATGAAATGAACAGCAGAGAATCACCTGCTTGCAAGAGTCAGACCAATGGTGCCAGTCCCACAAAACAGGTCTAGAACAATCTCTGAGCCATCTCCTCTGAGACCAGCACACTCTTCTATGAGACTATAAAGAACTTCTGCCTAAATGTTTCAAGATTTTGTGCATTCAACGTCATCAATAGTATGAAATAACTAAATAAGTAATTAATTTTGAGAAAAGTAGTATGAAAATAAGCAAACGTTTAGTTTTTGTCATATTACGAACCTGGCGAGTATTTGTCTGGAAGAAAGAGTTGGCTGATATCTGAAAAGTAAGCCCTCGTAAGGTTTCTGTGATGGTCGGTTTTCCATACAAAGTATATTCCTCCTCCCCAACAGAAGTGTTACCGACAGAAGTATTTACATTATTCATCACGCTGAACTATGAATCATAAAAAAATTATGAATAATACAGAAGTAAAAAAAAAATAGAAAAGAAAAAAAATTTGAAACTGACTACACTGTGAACTGGTAGTTTAAAAGCAACTTAACAACATTGCTTGCTAAAAGATTTATATATAAAACAAAAAAAAAACACACACACACACACACACAATATACACAAATGTGAATATATAAGAATAAGATACTTTAAAATAAAGTTAGAATTTCAAAGAACAAACCACTTCAGGGATAGCTGAAACTCGTTCGACAAGAGGCATCAGCAGCTCTGGCTTGTAAGATGAGGTCACAAAATTAACCATGAGTTCAGGAAGACCAGTCTTCAAGTTCCTGGGATGAAAATTACAGCTTAACTGTTTGTTTCAAGAGGAATACAGACTTTACTATGGTACTGTGGGTATCCATAAAATCGAAAGAGGAACAACATAAACTGTTACCATATATGATAAAGTATTAAACAAAGGGCAATAATCAGATAATTAGCAGTGAGAAAATACATAATAAACTATAAATATAACAAGGATTAATAAAAGGTTGGCATAGTCTCGTCATTTAAAAAACCACAGTACCTTCCAGTTCTCAGCATAAGATGCTTAAGAAAACCTTTATGAGAGTGAACATTATAAGGAGAGAGACCTAAATCTACATCTCTCCAACAATCTTGGATAGCCACAAGAACCTATTGGAAATAGATACACTAGTCAAACAATGCAGGATAATACAAATACCCTGATGCTACCTAAACAATTTACCAATGCTCAAATAGCAATGGAAGGAAATAACTACGTAAAACAGGTAGGAAAACAGGACATACCATATTGGCAGGCTCACTTTGCAGCAAACACTTGTTGACATTTAAGACTTTATCGAAAAATCCAGGAGCGTGCAGTCCCAGTGCATAGTTCTTAATCTTATCTCCCTCATTTTTTTCTGCTAATAATTCTTTAGGGACCCATCTTTCAGGACCAAATGAAAACTCCATCTGTATAAATAAACTACTAAATAAGAACTTTTTCCCTTCTGCTAATTAACTTCATCCTGGTTTAAACTATAAAATTGGCACAGAATACAGAAACTAACAAAATTTAACACGGTTTACCCAAAGAACAAACCTTATTCCTGTAATGAAACTGGATATCGCAGGGAACAATGGGCTTCATAATTTCTAGAGATTCCAGTTCCGATTTAGAAAACTTCCCAACATGAATCACCAAGTCGCGGACTTGTTGCTCCTTGGCTCGCAGCTGCGCCTCGTAAGCTAAATTTTGCGTTTTACACCCTCCACAGTAAGAAGCGTACTCACAAGGGGCATCCACCAAGTCCCAGTGTGGAGATATTGTCTCTACTTTCGTCACCTGAAACCCGAAGACAAACCTTTTATCTTAACTCCATCTCAACATTGATTCAAGTTCTACATAAACTAACCAGTCTGTTCCAGCCAAGTTCTCAATCTTACATCTCAACGTGACCATATTAAGTGAGATTTAACCAATTTAACCATAGACACGGATTTTTACCATCAAGATGTGAACTTTGTGGTCATTGACTCATTATTAAGTGAGATTTAACGTCTTATCTATTTCAAATTTTTCATAATCAGCATAAATGGACCAGCTTGAGTTGCCAAAACCAACATAAAGCCATGAAAAAGATAAGAACCAGATTCCAACCCCAATTCTGTTCAAAATTTTCTAAGCCGCCAAACAAGAGCCCGAAAAGTTTCATACCTCGGCATAGCTGCCCTTCCGGCGAGTGACGCGGCCAATGAAGCGCTCACCGGGGAGCGCACGGTCGCACATGACGACGAACCCAGTGTCGGCGACTTTACACAGACCTTTCCCTTTGAAAGCCAGCGACTCGCAGACAAGCTCCACCGTCTGTCCTCGCTTCGGGAAATTCGAGGTCGGCTTGTTAACGTTGTTACTCGATTGCATCGTGTTTGGCTCGGCTTGCTCCGAAGCCAGAGAAGCGAATGGAGTAGAGGAGAACCGTAAAGTCTTTATCAGCCATGGGCGGGTGGTGGACACGTGCCTGAGGCCGTAGCTCGGCACGGTCGCGATGCTCATCTCTGCACGAGTCCGAGGAGGGAAAAGGAAACGGAAATGAAAAAGTGATTTTTGCTTGGTTTTTGGGATAGAGGGTATTTTGGGTATTTTGTTCATAAAGTTGCTGGTTTAATCCGCGGTTTTGGTGAACAAGGCAAACACCGCCTTATGCTCCATCGTTTTCGATAAAACGACAGCGTATTGGACGAAATGTACTAGCTTTACTGTTACATTGCTTAGTTTGGTACTGTTCCTCCTAAAATCATCTTCTACTTGTAGTAGAAATTAATTTTAATGTTTAATAAAAATCTCCTCAAAAGTGTTTTTTAAAGAATTTTTTAACAGCTAAAATTAGAAACAACATAAAGACAACTTTAACTTTTAGATTGTGCAGGAATCAGCATAGTACAATTAATGAAACTTTCATAATACTCATAATACTCCTAATAAAATTTAAAATTTACAATCTTCCCGATCTAAAATTCAGACTCATAATATAATATAATATAATATTGTAATAAATAATATCATAATTATATTAATAACTCTAATATTATTATTTTATTATATAATATGATATTATAATAATATTATAATTATTTTAATAATATGATATTGTAATTATAATATGATATTGTAATTATTATTTTGTAATATATTATATATTATATTGTATTGATATAATTAGATTTATTATATTAAATTGTATTAAATATAATAATTAATATAAATTATATTGTAATTATATATAATATATTATAGTATAATATGATATAGTCATAATTTTCAACTATCTATAGTAATTAAACCTCAAAATTTATCAAACGTTATTACATTGATTTTGAAACCAGCACAGCTACTATAAATATAGTTTACTAAACACTCATCTACTTTTTGTAATAGCTGATTCTTCTTTCAACAAAGTTAAAAGTAATTTTTTCAAAATCTATAGCACTACTAAACTAAGCCATTGTCTCCTGGAAAAGCCCTAAAAGCCATAGTTACAAAGCTAGGGTGTACACAGAGCCGACAGGCGATGAAGGTTGCATCTTTCTCTCTCTTTCTTTGACGATCTAAGAGCAGTTGTTCAAAGCATGGGTAAAATTCGGAATCTTTCTTTCATACCTTTTTTGTTAATGTTATGAATTTGTGTGAATTTAGCGATTTGATTGGTCTTTAACGATGGGATTGTTGTAGGTAAGGTTCATGGTTCGTTGGCGCATGCCGGTAAGGTGAGAGGACAGATCCCTAAGGTGGCGAAGCAGGACAAGAAGAAGAAGCACAGAAGTCGGGCTTACAAGTGTATGCAGTACAACCGCAGATTCGTCACCGCTGATACGTTTATCGCTCCTCTCTCACTTTCTCTCTATAGTTATTGTTACGCTTGTTGTCTTTCAAGCTTGGTATTTTAATTCTAAATTTTTGGTCAAATTTATTCCTTTAATTTCATTAGCAAGCAAACCAGTTTAGTTCAATTGTCTGGCTAGTTATATTCTCAAGTCGAGCATTTGTATTAAGAAATCAAGGGAAATTGAGGCATCGTTCAGTTCGTTTATTTGAGTTTTCAATTCGAGTTGAGATGTAATTTTATATGAGAATTTTTAATTGTAGTTAAAAAAAATTAGATGTATTTTTTATATGAGAGATTTTAACTGTAATAAAATTAAAATTAAAAACTCAGTGAAATGAACTACGCCCAAATGTATCGATTATTCAGGTTATGTCGGGAAAAGAGGAAAACTTTACCTCCCTCTAAGTATTTACAATCAAATTAGGCTTATAGTTCCTGAAATTCACCCTTTTATTATTATTATTATTAATATATATATTTAATTTTGTCTTCTTGGAATAACAGAATTTAGAAATTGAAGCACTTAGTTCCAACAAGTGGGTAAAGTGAATTGGGATTCAGGTGATTGATTTACTATTGCCTTTGGTTGTACTTGCAGTTGTTGGGTTCGGAAAGAACCCAATTCCTCAGAGAAGTAGAGCTTGTATTGTGAGGACTTGTGATGGCGTAAAGTAAGCAGCTGCTAGCTTATGATGACGAGGAAACAAACTATGACTCTGTTCATTTCGTCGATTCGAGTTTAGAATTTGAGTTTTTCTACAGTAAAAAACTATCAGAAACAATCACATTTAACTTTTTTGCTATAGTAAAAAATTCTCACATAAAGTCACATATCAATTCAAATTAAAAACTCAAATCAACGAACTGAACAGGTCCTATATAGTTTCATGTTTTTGACCTATAGCCTAGTGTGTTTTTTTTTTTTTTTAATTGCTCTTTTGCCGATTCTTTTTCTTTCTTCTATGTGACACTTGCGTTGTGGTCGAACTTTGGAGATTCAGCATCAATATGTGCTAAAAGAAAAGCACTATCTTTTATAATAAGCCTTCATGAATTTCAAATTTGCTTAGTTGTGTGTGTTATACTCCCATATTCTGATCCAAGAGCTAATCTTCTTTACTGTACATAAATTTGTCAGTCTTGGTTAAGATTTTCCCTTTTCTCATATGATTTGAAATCGGTTCTTATTTGAGTGTTTGCTCATAAAAAGCGTGCGTCTGGACTTTTAAATATGTGGCCATTTGATCTTAATTAAATTTTATGTTGCAATCAAGTGGAGAATTACTAAAAATAACTCTGAATGATAATCCTTATAAATGCGGGTGTGTTAATTTTTTTTTTTTTTTTTTTTTTTTTTTTTTTTTGGCAAATGTCAATTGCTGGGTGAAGATGTTTCTATTATTTATCAAGATTTTTGTCAAAGAAAACATGGGCACGTAACGTGATTCAAACTCAATTAAAGAAATCTTAATCAAGCCGGAAGAATTTCACACTTTGAAATTATATTGAAAGCAAATCAACATGAAAGCGAAAATCAGAACAATGGAGAAAGTCCCACATTGACAAATTTGACTATTTGACACAAACGACAGACTTGTTGATGGCACAGCACGTGTGCACAAAAGAAACCGTTAAACTCAGTGACGCATTCATATCAGTGGTCATGATCAATGATAAGCTTTCCCATTTATTAAATAAAATAAATAAATAAATAAAAATAGAGCTTCCCAATAAACAGGAACAGACAAACAATCTACAAGGCAAGTCCTAGGTTTTTCCACCCGTCCGAACACATTTTTTTTTCTTTTCCCTCTCTTTCTCTCCGTCACCTGCCAAGTACTTAAAATTCTGTCATTTCCAAGCGTAAAAATTCCATCGTATATTAGGAAAAGGAAAAATTAGGAATCAAATATCTTTCTTTCTCGAACGTCTTTGGCAATTGGCACCATCTGCTGTCTGCCAGGTAAGAAAATTCTCACTCTTTTTCCTTTTTCACCAATATATTGGTACTGGGATTTTCCGTTTCCGTTTCAAAGTTTGTGATTTGATTTGATTTTTTCCTTTTTCTGACCAGAAACATCTTACTTGTCAAATACCTGGTTTTGAAGGGAAGGCCAATTTTCTGCTCATTGGAATTGATCTTTCTCTTGACGAGTCTGTGATTCAGTACGGACTCTTATTGTTTGCACAAAGAATTCGAATACCCAGATCGCTAAACTTATGTGCGTGTCACTATTTTTAACTATGAGATGTTGGTGAGTGAGATTTTGATACAAAAGGAGATTCTTCAATATTGGATCATTACCCATTAGTAGAATTTCATTGAGTTTTCAAACTGAGATGGCAGAGGAAGGGAAAGACTCCGCTGTTACACTCCGAATCAACCCGTCTCGGGTTTTGCCTTTGAGACTCCTCCAGTTTTTCTTGGTGTTTTTGGCTCTAGGTCTTGGGGTTTCGGTTTTCAGTATGTATACGACTAAGTATTATAAAGTTCAGAATGTGCCTCCAATTACACAGTCTGTAACAGCAGAGTCGGTAACCAAGCCTTGCTTTGAAGAGCCGAGTAGTTTTGAAGGTTGGATCCGGCCTCCTACAAAGCTATTGCATACCATGAATGATTCGGAGCTATTTTGGAGGGCTTCACTTGTGCCAAGAATTAAGCATTATCCGTTTAAGAGAATTCCCAAGATTGCTTTCATGTTTTTGACGAAAGGACCATTGCCTTTGGCGCCACTTTGGGAGCGGTTCTTTAAGGGTCACGAAGGGCTCTACTCGATCTACATCCATTCTATGCCTTCTTATGAGGCCGATTTTCCACCCTCATCGGTGTTCTACAGGAGACAAATCCCAAGCCAGGTATGTTTTGAATTGTATTATAGTGTAGGAACCTTATTTCCTCCATAACACGCTTATACAATTCTCTGAATGATTACTCTGAAAAGTTTTGGATTTGTCTAGTTTTGTCAAAAAAATGTATTTGTTTGAGATTTCTGGGAAGCCAATCAGTTTTACTTTCGGAGGAAGCATCTCATATATTATTTGTCATGGCCTTTTTAGATGAACACTAATGAAACCATGGTTCTTTATGAGATGCTTGTGCACGTAGTTGTCCAGATCTCAGTGTATTTTGGGGGAATCAATCAAAGTTGTTAAACAATAATTTTCTACATTCAAACTTTTTGTTGGTGAAGCATAACATTTGTATGACTATAAGGCTTTATCAATGAATGCTCTATGTCACCAAGATCTGTCTTAAATGAAACCTTTAAAGAATAGCAATTTGGAAGTGTGTAGAAACAGAATAAGGTGGCCACCAGTTTCTCATTGTTTGGTTAACTGTCAAATCTTTAACATCTTGACTTTTTTCTTTCTTTTTTCTTGGTGCTGTTACCTTTGACTTCAAGATGAAAAGCTTCTAAGTTTTTCTGCTTCCCCTTCTGTAACCTGTTCAATTGATACTATGTCCGAATTTTCTCTTTGAAAACTCAATTTTGAGATTGTGTTATTTGGAAATATCGTAGATTTAGGCCTTTTCACTTTTTGGTTAGTTTCTTGTGTCGTCATCTCACTCTAAAATAGGAACTTACTTTCCTGTGTCTTGAAACTGAAACGTACTTTTTAACCAATGCATGTTACTGCTTTTTAAGTTTTTTTATTATCTTCTCAAGATACAATACTATCCTATCTCGAGTTTTTGGGTCGACCAGCTTTATATGCTTATGAAATAAAAGTTCTAAATGTTAAGTTTAGCAAGGCCATCAACTAAAGAGCTGTATCTTGGTTCAAACAGTAAGGCTTGAGAATCCGAGATGGTGTACTCATGGTTCTTAGGTCTAATATGCAATCAAGAAAAAGGAAGGAAAACAATCAAACTTATGGACGCCTAGTGGTAGCATTGACAGATAAAACGCGTTATTGGATCAGTTGTAATATTTTGCATGGACACCACAAGAGCACTTTTGGTTTACAAGTTTTCTAGAATTATTTTTGCAACTTGTTTCGCGTTCTTATTTGCCTAAGCATACGAATTTGCTGTTCGTTCTCATGTACATGAAACTATATGTTAATTTACATGTTTTGCTCATACCGTCATGCAGATAGCCGAGTGGGGAAGGATGAGCATGTGTGATGCCGAGAGGAGACTCCTAGCTAACGCATTACTTGATGTCTCAAATGAATGGTTCATCCTCCTTTCCGAGTCATGCATTCCTCTAAGCAACTTCAGCATTGTCTATCGCTACATATCAAGGTCCCGCTATAGCTTCTTGGGTTCATTTGATGAACCAGGACCTTATGGAAGAGGACGCTATAACAGAAACATGGCACCCGAGGTCAACTTAACCGATTGGCGCAAAGGGCCTCAGTGGTTTGAGATCAATCGTGTGCTTGCGGTCAAGATAGTTGAGGATGCAACCTACTACCCCAAGTTCGAAGAGTTCTGCAGACCAGCATGTTATGTGGATGAACACTATTTCCAGACAATGCTTAGCATCGAAACTCCGCATCTTTTGGCTAATAGAAGCCTTACTTATGTGGACTGGTCAAGGGGTGGTGCTCACCCAGCTACTTTTGGTAAGGCTGATATCAGTAAGGATTTCTTCAACAAGATTGCTGAGAGTAAAACATGCCTTTACAATAATCAGCCGACCACTCTTTGTTTCCTCTTTGCTAGAAAGTTTGCTCCGAGTGCTTTGGAACCTCTATTAGAATTAGCATCTGAAGTTCTTGGATTTTGATGACATTCATGGTATTCCTTTATTTGGAGAGGTGCTGATCAAAGCATAGTAAAATCTTAATACGAGCTAACTTTGAAATTAACAATTAAATCACATTGAGTATAGTGAATAGAACCCATATTCAGCATGTTTAGGAAGTTCCAGGTATAGTTTTCTATACTGTAGATTGGTGTTGGCCTATGGGGTTTGCGATTGATTGGATATATTGGGTGCGTTTGAAACTCATTCCAAAATAATTTTATTTTTTGTATGAAAATGAAAATGAAAACGTTTTCAATCTCAGACAGAAATCATTTTTGAAAATGCGTTTGATAGTTTTATCAAGAGATTATTTTCAATATAAAAAAATTTATTAATGTCTCTCTCTCTTTCTCTACTAGAGAGATGAGAAAACGAAAATAAAAAATAAAAAATGATTAAAAGTTATTTTTCATTTCTCTTTTATTTTACACTAAATTAAAAAATCGTTTTCATTTTTATTTTTTATTTTTATTACGTCAAACGTCGTTTTAAAAATATATATATTTTTAAAAATTATGAAAAATAAAAACAGAATTGATTCTAAATACGGTCATTATTTATATTTATACAGTATATATTTAATGAGCATACTAACCCTCATTTTCTGAGGGGTGTGCCTTACTGAATTACTCGTGCATTATTTATTTATTACTTTTTTCTTAACGAAGCGCAGTTTAGCCCAATTGTTAAAAAGTTGACTTTTTTTCCTTTGTCTGCCACCCCTTTTCAATTGTCACTTCTACCTAAGTTTTCTTTAAATATATATATATATATATATATCAATTACACCCTAAAATTTGACTTTTAAACATGTTATTAAGACTTTTTGTATGCCCAGTATATTAGATATTACATTTGAATAATTTATATTTGTATAAAATTATGTAAAAATTAAAAAAATATAAATTTAACTATTAAATTTTTTTTTAACTTATAAGTACACTGAATGTATTAGAGAATTTTCGGTATTATTATTCAAACTTACAATCTCAACAAAACAACAAATTAATTATACTACCGTAAGTTTTTAGAATTTGAACTTTGAAAAGTTAATTAAGTTCAAATAGGAAGATAAATGAAGGTGAAAAATTGTTGCTTTATAATGATTTTTTTTTTTTTTAACAGATTAGTTTAAGAAATGTTGGTCGAAGAAAAATTATCGTTAGAAAAATTTATTTCCGCTCTCCATACTACTTTTTTTCTTTTTGTTTTTTTTTAAAGTTGACTGTTTCTTCGGTTAAAATTAGTAATCAACATCAACCACGTTGTCGTTTTGTCATATGGGTTGTTAAAATCGCGAAACCACAATAAGGAGTATATTTTTACAGCTTTTTTGGTTCTTTGTTGAGTGGCAAATTTGTAAATAGAAGAAAGTTTGCTAGCAAATGGAATCGCAGCATTCTTTTCTTATCTCATTTTCTTCTTCGATGTTTTTTAATTAATTTTCTCATTTCAAATGATATTTAAGTTTAGTTTAGCGCGGTTGAGATTGTTTAAAAAAAGTTGTTTTTGACTTATTTAATTTAAAAGCCGTTTTTAAACTTGTTTATATGAACAATTTTAAAGCGTTTTTAACTTTTTTAAGAATTTTTAAAACAAATCAACTCTTTAATCTTATAAAAAAGTGCATATAAAAAGTTTTTTATTTACGTTTTTAAATTTTTATTTGTAAATAATAAATTAAATATCTCATACGTATTCTTTTATTATATTATTTTTTATAATAATAAGTGTTTTTGATATTTTTATTCAAACAAATTTAAAAACTCTTCTTATATATAAAAATACTTTTTAAGTACTATTCAAACTCTAATAAAAAAAATCTTAATTTATATTTATTTTTTTCTACTACTTAAAAGTACAATCATAAACTATCCCAAACAGATTTTAAAATAGTTGGGGTGAATTATTGATTTTGTGCTAATATATGTCACGTTTTCGATTTGCAGAGAGAAAATGGTCAACTAATAGACTGCGTTGATATTTACGAACAACCTGCTTTTGATCTTCCACTACTCGAGAGTCATACAATAGAGGTGTGTCCGCCATTTTAGTTAAATATCTTCCAAGTAATCTTCGACCTTTATAGCATCACAAGGATAAAAATTAAGCTCAAATTGTACGCATGCACCCTGAATATATTGTCATTCGCATGTTGTGTTAGGTATATGCTCATAAATTAAATAAAATATAAATATTTTTTCTGATTATTAATGAAATGAGAATTTTTTTTAATATTATTTTGTATGCATGTGATGTTTTATATAAATATAAAAAATTCTTAAATTATTTTAGATGTAACTTTAAACATTGTATATAAGTATTATATGTAGAGGATAATATTTGACGTAAAATAATATAAAGTTGTCCGTAATTATAAATTAAAATTGGGATGTTTAATTTTAAATTATTAGTATGGTTCATTACATTATGAATGAAACAATCTTATCATAGATTGTTAATAATGAGATTATTAGAATGAAGTACTTTATGTAATAAGATTACATAGGACCGGAACGTAATTAATTATGATCTCTAATAAATTATGTTATTAAATAGTGCATTCAATATTAATCAACGATGGTCATATATGAATTAATCTTAATTCTTAGTAATTAATAGACTCCTATTTATGATATTATATATGTTCTTTGACATATTGAGTAATGACACATGTGAATAGTGTCAAAGTCTTGGTATATTGGGAGCATAGTAAAATAAATAGCCGAAAATATTAATTTACAAGATGAAATCCATTCCTTCATAATGAAGTAGATGAAGGTTTCCATAAGTGTTGATTCGGGGCTTGAGTAATAAGAGCGCTCAATTTTATGATTGGATCATAAAATATATTATTCATTAGAAGATCAATGGTACTTATGGAGAAATATATAATTAAAGAGGTCAATGGAAAATTTTTAGCTTTAATTATGAACCGTTTATGGAGGATTAATTTCTATGTAGTGACTATATTAATGGACAATACAAATTCTGTGAATATAATTGTTTTATAATTTTAAGAGTGTAATTTTAAATTTATAGTGGAGT